ATCATATTCCAGAATGCTACAGAAATTAAGAATTAAAATTTTTTCAGAGTTAAAAATGTAAGTCATTTTTTAGGTCTAAATTAGTCCACTCAGTAAAGACCCAAGATTATAACTTAAATTTTTAAAGAAATTTTTTATTTCATTTCCTCTGGAAGAATTAATGGGAGGTCTTCTGACATCTATAAATAGGGAGTGAATCCTGGTATTGTGGAGTCTGAACTTATACACAGGGGCTCTCTAACAAAAGCATACAAAACTACTAATACAAGACTTAGGATAAACAAAATATTATGGGGAATAAAGAATCACAATGAATGTCAAATTTATAAAAGCTGACACCACAAACATTGGAAAAAGCAAGAGAATAGCATATGTGTATTAATAAGTGGCTTGACATATTGCTATAATAATTTTTTAAAACATTTTTGGCTGCATATCACTTTATTATCTCTTCATAAGATAATGATTTCCTAATATCAGGCCTCAAAAGAGGCTTATGCAAGTGAGGGGCTTTAAGCTAAAACTTCATTAGCAGCATAGTAAATCTGCCTTGTTTTTATCAGTCATTTGATCACTGTGTGGCTGTTCAAATGATCTAAACTAGTAACAACCTACCATCTCAAACTATCTATTTATCTATATACATATATATATACATATATATATATCTGTATCTGTTTTCCTATGCATATATATGTGTATACACACATACTTATATATAATACAAAGCATTAATTTTAATTTTAGAATGTATTTAAGGCAAATGGCTCCTCAGGGAAGATGTAAGTTATATGGTGGGAGGTGGGGGAAGGGGCTTTTATTTTCTGCAAATAAATTGAGGTTACCAGTCCCTTTTCTCTGCCTCCCTCAATTAATGGGGTTGTATTCGGCATTATAACTCACCATCCAGAGCTATAAAACACACGTGAGATGGAAAGGCTATTTAAGGCATTAATTTACCTAAAAATGTGCCTTCAATATATAGTTCTTAATGAAATATTTGTTTATAAATGAATTAACAAACTAACAAATGAGTGAGTGAATAATACAGCTATTGCTACTTCCCATTTTCTTTTACCTCAGTGACTACTGTAGGTATCTAATGAAGTCTAAATCTACTGGAGCATTCAACTACATTAAAGTATCTGTATCAGGTACTCCATTAGCTGTGTTTATGTTCATTATCTCACTTACTCCTCATAACAATTCTTAAGGTAATTATATTTCTCAATACACAGTTATTGAAATTGAAATTTAGAGAATTTAAGTAACTAGAATGCCATAGAAGCACAAATTGAATCCAGGCTTTCTAGACTTTTAGTTAAAATACACTGTAACTGTTTCTGTTCCCTTCATGTCAGCCTATAGAAATATAGCCAAAAAATAAAACCGCAGCCTGTTAGATTAAAACTGTATTCTAAACAAGTTTTAGACAAAAATGTAACATATTATGGCAAAAATAGTTACAATGGAATCTCTCATTGTTGTGCTACCATGTAGAGATGTCTTAAATTTATTTCCTTTCATTTCCATTACCCATAAAATGCTCTTTCTATTCCCAGTTTTGAAACGGGGTTTGGTCTGTTGCCCAAAGTAGTAGCATGAAAGTTAATAGCATAGTATAGCTATAAGCAGGAGGATTAACTTCATCATGACGGGGCAGACAGGTTCGAAAAGCCCAGAGAGGTGCTTTTAAAACTGCCCAGCAGCATTTTTCATACATTTCAAAAGGGTTCTCTGGTTGAATAAACTCTTCATATGCCCCTGCTGAAGAGTCACCACATATATTTGCATATTAAAGACAAAGGAGGTCCTACTCTAAATAAACCTGTTTTCCTCCGGGGCAGCACCCCTACCTTCCTCAATGTTAACATGTTCCTCTACTGCCCCCTAGAGGGCCTCAGCCACAGCACACACACCATCGTTGCCCTCTCCCTACTGAGTTTTCCTAGGGTGGGCTACACTGCTGGAATTCAGGCGAGGGGAGCTCTAAGAGGTTAGGGGCTTGGGAACAGGGTTTGAACAGCAACTTGGTTTCTCTACCATTGCTAACTGATAGCTCCTTTCCCTCTTTTCCAGAAGCTGCAGTATTAAGACGTGTGAAGAGAATGGTGACTTCCTTTTTTGTTCTCACTTCCACTTTTCCCTACAACAGTCTCCATTTGAGCATTTTACCCTGCTGGAGTATTTGTTGAAAAGTTGAGACAGAAGTAGCATAGAACAAGTTTTAAAAGTTATGGTAGTGAAGGTGAGGGAGGAATCAAAGAAAATCTTAAAAGGAAAAAGACCTGTACTGCCTTCCCTTCCTCAGGACCCTTAAGTTACCTATTCTTCATACACCTTCCTTCTCCCCTACCTTCTCCTCTCCCTTCTTCTCCCCCTTGAGATCCAATCCAGGTTGCTAGTTCTCACACACATCTTGGAGACAAAAGTCTATCTTCTAGGGTTTTTGTTTCTTTTCACTTATTATTAGTTTCATCGAACTCTAAGCGAAGTTAATTTTGTTAAGGGTTTACAAACCTGTAATTTATAGATTATTGGTAGAGCAAATATAATGTAACAATAAACACACTGTTTATTTGACTATTTTGACAGTCTAGACTGCATCTCATGGCATAGTTGTTCTGTGAAGAATAAGAAGTGGTTATGTATTGTTAACCCAAAAAGATTTTTGAAGAACAAACTAGAATACACAGAGTTAAAAATAAGTCCACTTAGTACAAACTATACTAGTATTTAATTCTCCATGAAATGTTAGTTTATAACAGCAGCTGACAAATACAGTTTAACCCTTTCAATATAAATATATATTTTGAGGTCCTTGACTAACTCTAAAGATAAACATTACACTGTCTGTTGTCACTAACTGATATACTCTTCAAAGTTACCTCTGATACTATCTTATAAATGCACTTTAAAAGTATTATTACCTCTTCAGAAATCACTCAGACTCCCCACCCAAAGTGATCCTTGTAAAAAAGAGGAAATTTTAATAATTCATAGGACATTTGGAAACCTCTGTAATTTAACAAGTTTATGACAAAGTTAACTTCATAATTTCTGGTATTTTATTGTAAATTTTCTATGACTGCAAGGTTCCTATGGTTGGTTATTTTTTGGAGGATATTTTATAATAGGAGTGGAAATGCATGTGTTAAGTAATTCAGTCACACTGTTCAAGAATTGTAAACATCTTTGAATAACATCGCATTATTTATTGTGATGAAATGCAAAAGGCTTACCAACATAGCCTACCCACTTTAGCATCTTCCAAAAAATAAATGGATCAAGAATGTAAAACATAAAATGTGAGGTTAGAGTCATAAGTTATTTTGGTATTTGTAGGACAGTTATAAGAAAGTTGTCCTGTTGGGATCATGACTCTCAGCCAAGCAGGTAATATTTCATTGATAATGAGCGTAGAACACCAAGAAGTGAACCAATGGAAACCAGGCAGGATGCCAGTGCTCCAACTCCACATCAGAGCCTGTACACTCATACTAGCAATGGCAGCAAAGTGCCACTCAGGTAAGTGAGGAAGATGATGAATTGTACAAATTAGATCACTAAGATTAGATTCGGAGTAAACCTTGGATTTGCTGGGTTTACCAAAAGAACACTTAATACTGGGCCCTGAAAAGACATAGAATTTGAAAACCTATCAGTTGACAAGATCTTCAAAGGATTCCTTAGCATGACAGGATTAGGTTCAGTATGGAGAATCTCCTTTAGTGCTTTGAGCTCTAGCAACAGATCTAGAGAAGATGGAGCCTAATAACAGCATTCACAGTGGAAAGCATTCAGGAATAATATTTTATCTTTATTGCCTATTTTGTGTTACATGTTTTTTTCCTTAAAAGGAGAACCCTTCTATGCTCCAAACACTTTTCCTTCACTATCTCTAGCCTGTCAAAAGAGATAACCGCAATAGGAACGTGTTTTTTTTTTGCCTGAAAATAAAATGAATCACCATTGTTCTCCTTACCTGAAAAAAAATTTTAAAGAAAGTCTAGACCAGCTGTGTTTCAGTAAATGAGAAGAATTCTCACTTTTTTACATTTTATCCAAAGAAACTGACATTCAACTAAGTTTCAGTAATGGTCAAATGAAAACTGTTCAGTCTCAAAAGAAAACAGAAACCATATATTGATTATCTAAACACATGTCTAATCATTTAAAATGAGATGCCTGCAGTACCTCAGTCAATGAAAAATGGCTCAAAGTAGCTGTCCATTAAACACTATGTTGACTAAGCACTATGTTGACAGCCATGGTTGTTAGAAAAAAAAAGTGAAGCAGTTTTCCTACATATTTCAATGAAATACACAGTATATTTGTTATACATGAGAAAATGCAGCTGATTTCACAAACCATGCAAAAGCTAAATCTATGCAGCTCATAGTCATATCTTGTATTAGAAATAAAGGAGCTTAAAAAGTAAAGAACGCTCAGAGTGGTGTGGTATTAGTCTAGGATTCTTTTAAAATGTGTATTTTTATCAATCCCAATATACTTTTTTGGAAACATTATGTGATTTTCATACATGCGTATTTTTCCTAAATTTAGAGCAGTAGCTCATACCTACTTCCTGAAGAGATGACCACATAGGAGTTTTGATAAGATGGAAAAAAAATTGATCTCAATATTAAAAGAAACAACAAAAAAGAATTCTTTCTTCAGCTACCAAAATCTCTTTGAATCTTTTACCTCACCAGGCAACAACTGGATAACTCAAGCTAAAGCCTGTCCTATGAAACAAGAATTGTTAACAGCGTTCTGATCTCTCTATGCTTTAAAAGACACAATAATTTTCCCTGCCCCTGTGCTTCCATCACAATACAGGCAAATAACACACATGAAAAGCCTCCTCCCATACAGTCTGCAACTAGTCATCTGTAGAAAAATGAGAGTGCAATAGGAGAAACGCATTCTTTACTTAGGAAAGAGCAACCTTGAGGACACCACCACTTACCTTTACTCATTTAATTACATTAATCAGAGCTCAGTGCTTCAGCAAAGTTCAGCTACGCACATAAGGCCATAATTTCCAGGCTCCTATGAAAGAAATTCAGCTGCAGTTTTGTCTGCTGCAATGTGTAACTGTTCAAGCCTACAGAGAGAGGAAAAAATTATGGCATTATTACCAAACAATTGCCCCATCCCTACTTAATCACAGCAGTTGTTGTAGTAATCAGGAATTCCTGTCGAAATTTTTCCTTCACTGAAAACCCTTTTTCCGGCATTTTTATTTTTCGTCCTCCCCTCCTTGGGCTTTAGTAAACTTTTCTCAATGCAGGGACCATTTCTAACTTTTCCCAATTATTTGCCCAAGCACTATAGCAAACTTCAAATATTTTATTATTTTTGTAATGTTGTAAGGCCAGTCCCAGGACTAAAAAAAATCTTGCTACTCATGTCCAGGAGGAAATGGAGAAGTGTTCGTTTCCTTTCACAGGTATGCCCTTTTCAAATTCTTATAATCTATAGTGGTGGAGAGGGGGAAGGTGTTAGACTTGATTCATCTTTCTAAGCTCTCACTAATAGCACCCTCTAGTGTTTCCAGTGGAGCTATGCGTTTTGTCGTTGGCTAGGTTACAGTATTGCCGCAGTTAAAATTACTGAAAACTCAATGAGTTCTTCAGCTATCAGCCTTTATTGAGTTTCCAAATCTTTAGCTTCTGAAGAAATTCATATGCCCTCTGTGTACCTGCACCACTTCAGCTTTGCTTTTTATTTGTGACTTCACTGTTTCAGTACCAGAAATATCTACCAATTTAATGTAAATATGTCTTTACAAATCATGATAGTAAAAAAGCTTGGAACTGAGAGAATACTTTTAATTTTTCAAAGCACTTTCATACACATTATTATTATTTGTCACAATATTGTCTCTCCAACAGCATACATGTTTGTCGTTTATTTTTGGAGAAGCAGAATGATTTCACTTGGGATTAATTCTTAACTAAAAAGCTTTCTCTTTAAATAGCCCCTAATCCACTAGGGTTTAAGTTTTTTGTTTTTCTTTTGTTCACTTAACATCTTTATGTACTAACTCTTGGAGAGTGACACCTTTGTAGCTTAATGACAGCATTGTACTAAGCATTTTAGATACATTGTCTTATTTAAACATCATTACAATAATTTGAGGTGAATAAGACTATTTTATCCCCATTTTTAAATGAAAAAACTGAAGCTTCTTAGGCTAGTTCTGTGCAAAAAAAAAAAGTATAATTCAAGCCACACATGTAATTTTTATTTTTCTAGCAGCCACATTAAAAAATTGAAAATAAACAGGTGAAACTATTTTTAATAATATGTTTACTTAACCAACCAAAATATTATCATTTCATCATGCAATTTATATAAAATTTTACATATGTGCTAAGTCTTCAAAATAGGGTGTGTATTTTACATTCACAGTACATCTCAATTTGGGGTAGCCACATTTCAAGTGCTCAATAACCACATGCGGCTAGTGGCTATCTTATTATACAATACAGATCTAGAGATTAATTTGCCTGCAGCCACACAGCTAGAAAATGCCAAAATCAGAACTACAAATATGGTCTAAAACTAAAGTCCTTTTCTGAACCACTGGGCATCACTGCATCATACTTACTAATTGTGACTGCTGCTAATAGTTAATATTAAATATGAAAAATATCATGGAGGATGATGTAATTTATCCAGTTTTATAGTCTTGTGCCCATGTATCCACTTATTTTCTCAATAACAATGTTTTATTGATCATAACATTTATGTGCAATGTACAGTGCAAGTTGTAGACCACACAGAGAGGAAAGGAGTTTACACAAAATAGCAGCTGTCCTGTGATACAAAGTACTCATTTTCATCCATCTGCATGACCTGTCTATTCTCTCTGCAGACAGAGAACATGGGAAAGCAAATCACAGTCAGACTGCTTGATAAGGGATGTTTCAATGCAAGGGCAACTGAAACCTCAGAATATTTTATTGGCTTCATCAACTTCATATCAAGGGTAGTTTTGCCAGTGAGATGAAAATGCACATGGATAGGAGTTACCAATGCTCATCTTTTTGAGTCTTCTTTTACTAGGTCTCTATGGCTGATCAACTTTCTTTAGAATAACACATTATTTCTCCTTTTTAATCAATGCTTACTAGCCTGAGAAACATCTTCACTCATTGAAGTATTTTGAATTTCTGATCCATTATATTACATAATGGTTTTATAGTTTAATCCTCAGAGACTAGACATATTTCCATGCTTATAGGGTACACCTTGCCATAATTTTCCTTTCATGGTCTTACCAGAACAGTGGTTCAAGTTCCAAATTGGAACACAGAACAAGCACAATAAATATCACAGCTCCTTCATGGCATCTCCAAAAAACAAATTCCTGCAGTTCCCTTTTAACTTTTGAGGGTTTCTGTTAATTGTAAAATTTTTGATGTGATGCAAATTCTGAAAATGTGTAACCATACTGAGGACCATATGCTGAGGATCAGCACAGTGGACTGGAGATGACATGGGTTTGAATCTCCCAACTCTATGGTTATATAATGTTGGAATTTTACCTAGTCTCTGTGAGTCTTTGTTTCATTTGTTTAAAAAGATGAAGGCAATAACCTATCTCATAAAAGTGGCTTTGAGGATTAATAGGACAGTGTATATAATGAAGATAGTTCATAAAAGGCATTCAATAAAGAAGTCTTTCTCTCTGTAAGCAGAGTAGAGTCTTTATCAGTCCTTTTAGGGTTAGAGCACCAATAACAGAGTTTTTACCAGGTGTTTGGGCTTTTGGTTATTCCATTGCTCATTGGTGCCAACACCAGACAGAACACAGGTGAAGAGAAAACAGGAAACAAATCTCATTGTTTTCAGACATGGATTTCTGTCAGTCTAATCCCCAAGCCAAATTTCTCAGATAACTTTCTGGGTTACTTAGTTCAATGAGTAGTCCCCTTGGTCTGTAAATAATGTTTCTGCTCTATAGAGATAATTTTCTATTGGACTATACACTTAAAACTAAATGTTTGCCATATATTACAGAATAATCCAGATTAACGACAAAGCAACCATGTAGCTGAATTTAGGAGTTATACACTTTGAATGGAAATACAGAGTCTTACTCTTCAGCTCCACAGTCTTGTGCAAATTACTTATCCTCTATGAGCTTCAGCTTCAGGAATCGTAAATGTGAAGAATACTAAGCTCATGAGTTTGTCATGAGGATAACTTTAAATACTCGTAAGTCACTGAATAGCTCTTTCCCCCTACGTTAGGTTTAAATACAAATTTTAAGAAATCAGTTAATTGGTATCTAATATGGATGTTATGAATGATTATTAGTGCTCTGAGAGTGCCTCCATGGCATGATTTTTCCACACTGCCCTGGATCAATCAGTGATTTTATTTTCATTAAGTTCCTGTTATCCCTTATGACAGAGTCTCATCCAGCAGTGCAAACCCCAAGAGTCAGAGCTGTAACAGTTTGACAGCTTCAGATTTCATCTCTAAGACATTTCCTAGTTCCCACAAAGAGGACAATACGTGTACTGGGTACTGTGAATAATGTAGGCAGAGTTACAGGAGGAGTAAAATGTAATAGTAAATAGTTCTTTGTGTCCTCTTTCATGCAGGTTGCACTGAACTGCGGTGCCAATGTCTCTCTCAGTAAAGGTTTTAGGAGTAAAAAAAAAGGCAAAAGGAAAAAAAGTGATGGTAGAACTATATGAACCAAGGTTTTAACCTTTAAAAATATCAGGTATTGGAGAGAAGGCAGGAGGATGGAGAAGGACATATTGAGGAAAGAAGTCATATTTGCCCTTCAAAAAAAAAAACTTACCATGAAGAAGGTATTAGAGAAAATCAATTCGTGATAATTGGCAAAATTTCTTCTTCTTTATGTTCTAGCCCTATACAGATGCATTTCCTCTTGCATTCAGTAGACAAAAATAAAAATGAATACTGTGCTCTTGGCACCCTAAAACATTCTCTACTTTTTCTCCTTTTATTTCAGAAGGGAGCTTCATCCTTCCAAAAACAAAGCAGAGCACTAGAAAGATAAGTTTTTCCATTGGTTAAGCACGGAAAAGGGATTTTTCCTCTAAAACTCTACACCTTTCAGGAAAGCAATTTAGAAAATCCACCTGGTTCATTCTCCAGCCTTTGAGTAAATTTAAGGATTTGCTCCTTGGAGCAAGAAAAGAATAGACCAGCTGGGAAGATTTTGGTTGTTGCTCTTTGCTTTTAATCCCATGACAGGGACAGGAGAATGAGCCTTGCTTCTAGATACTCACGACCCATCTGAGCCATAAACCAGCCACATTGCCCCTGATCGCTTTAGTGGCCTTGGGAAACCTGGCATCCCGATGCCCGCCCTGGCGTCGCCGACCAGGCAGCCGGAGAGCGCTGGCAAGCACCAGTTTTGCGGCTCTGGGCTGGGTTCCTCCCTCTCTTGCATCCTTTCCTTCCTCGGAAACGCGCTGTCCACGCCCGCAATGCTGCCGGCTCCCCGGCCGCGAAGCGGTTGGACCCCACTAAAGCAGCCCGAAGCCACCGACCTGCTTACGTTGGTTCACTCGTACTTGCTCTCTGGGGTAGCCAGATTGCTAGATCTCCCCCTCACCTGGCTTTCCGCTGCCCCCAGACGATCAACCCGAAAGGCAAGCAAGGAACCAGACCCGGCTCACAGTTGAGTATGAAATATGCAGACACCGTCTTTCGGCTCCAACCGCGGCTTTGCCGGGCTCCTGCCCTTACTTCCACTAGTTTGCCTTAAGTGTCCTTTGTATAAGAAAATGGTGCTTCTGGATGCTTGCTCTCTAGCTGGAGTCAGGGCGGTCAGCGGGATCTCGAGAAAAAACACACATAACAAAAAATAAACAAACTTCTAAGATAATGTGAACGACTTCAACTTGAAGGGAACCTTAAGAGAGCAGCGAGCGGAGAGCCGAACGGAGCAATGCATACCCTCGGTTTTTTGCTCTGCAAAGCGGGCAGCCGGAAAGCGGTGCGTTTTCCCCGGCAGCAGGTCCCGCACGCGAGTGTGCCGCCAACACACATCCTGCCGCCTTCTCGGGGCGGCAAACAGTAACTTCCAAAGCTTACCTCCATCTCGCCCCCGCCCTTCTCCCCCAGTTCTCCGTCAGCGGGAGGGGCCGCCCCCGGAGCGGCAGGAGATGTGGGGTGCAAGGAGTGGGGACCAGAGGGGGGTACCCAGCAGTTGGTGCTGCGCCATCCCCTCCCAGCAGGCGGCCCGGGCACTGGTTCACTTCTCTCCCCCACGCCTTCCACTCGCTCACCCCCCTTCCTTCCCCCTTCTCCCCTATCTCTAGTCCCTCCCCTTCGCCATTGAAAAGGGCTGGCTCGGCACTGGTTCCTGGCAGTCGGCGAACTGTCAGGGCGGGAGGAGCTGTGAGCCTGGGCTACACGCAGCGGCCCGCGCGGCAAAGCAGAGAGCGAGCAGAGCAGAGTGCTCAGATTGGCAGAGGCAGCGGCGACACGAGCAGCCGAAGCCACCCAGGCGTTCCGAACAGCCTCAAAGGCAGCCTCTGCTACTCCAGCTGCTCCGCGGACTGCGAGCTGTGGCGGTAGAGCCCGCTACGGCAATCGCAGTCTCCGTGGTGCGGGCGAAAGCCTTTTCTCTTTTTTTCGCTTACCACTTCATTCTTCTATAGAGGCTTCGAACAGTGAGTAAGTATCGGGTCTGGGTGCCAGAACGGTGCGGCGTGTGAGGCGTGAGTCCCGCACTTAGTGAGCGGAGGCTTCCTGCTGCCTGCGGTGCGCTTGGGATCTTGACTATGACCAGAGTCATTTTAGAGACGCTTGTGGTGTCCTCCCTTCCCCCTCCCACAGCTCTTCCCCGGAGGTAAGAGAAAGAGCAAACCCCGAAGGTGAGCGCTGGTAAAGTATCTTTTTGGCACTGCCACCGCTCGGCTTGGCTTGCTTACTTTGCGAAAACTCTCACTTCTGTCAGAAAAGTGTCCGCGCATGAATCTCCCCGACATTGGCCGTGCAAAAAGGTCTTTCACTTTAACGGATACTGCCAGCTTCTTCGAGGTTGAAAGAAACTCTGAGACTGGGGCAGGTGCTGAATAAGGATCACACCCCTGACTCTCGGGCTACCCCGGCGGAGCGGTCCGCGCTGCGGAGAAATACCCCGAACCCAGAGCCTGCCTGGGACCTTGTGCCGCGCGGCCGGGCCCCGCGGCTCTCTTACCTCTAGGCGCTCGGAGTGTGGATCCTTGCCAGGCTGGCTCTAACCCTCGGGAACCCGACCCCTGGCGCAGAGCTTAGAAGAGCGCAGCGCGCTACGGCGCGCGCAGGATCCCCCAGGCTGTTCCCCTGGCGCTTGCCTCCCCGCCCTTCCTTCCCGCCCTACTTATGGGGTGTGCTCAGCCAGCACCTGCTGGATGTGGAAATAGTAGGTGTGTAAAATTCTGCCTAGCTTTTAAAAAAAGAACTTCTTATAATCGCGTGGCCAATAAAACGGCATCTTTTTCTTATAAAAAAAAGACTTTTATTCTAAGAGCGCAGAACAGAAAAGGGTTCCTCTTTCTCTAAGAAAATGACTTTTAATCCCAAAAAACGCCTACCTATCCCTAAATGAATGACGTTTCTAAGGTAGAACCTAAAAACAGTTCATCTCTCCACAAAAGTAATTTTTTTTTCCGCGCGTAGCCATCAAATGGTCCCTTTTCGCTAAAATGAATGCCTCTTAATAAGAGCGTCATCGGAGAAGGTGACTTATTAAAAGCACCTAGCCTCAAATGGGTCTTTTTCTTTAGAGACTTTAGAAGAGTGGAGCGGCAGTCTGCTCTCGGTTTGGGAAACTACTTGCACACGAGCTCTTAGCCGCAAATTGACTTCTCCCCTGGCAAAACGGGTGGGGGTCACTCTCCAAGAGTGCAGAGCAGGAACCGCTTCCTTTCCTCCCCCAAATTAAGACACTTACACCTCAAGTGAAAACGGCCTCTTCGCTTCCAGAATAAATTTCTCCGTGCTTTGCTGCTTTGGCCGCCTTTGCGGCTTGGGGTGCGGGGCGCTGGGTTGCGTGTGCGCGCGCGTCTGCGGGCGGGTCCTAGCCTCTGAGCCGGGTGCCCTTCCAAAATGTTGGTTCCGGGGATGGGAATCCAAACTTGCGCCGCTGCGGCACACACCCACAAAGCAAAGACTGGAGAGAAGAGGGACTAGGACAAAAGAATAAATAAAATTAAATATCAGAAACAAAGCAAAAGCAAGTCCTTGTGTGGAAACATCCCAAGATGGGATTTAAACCTAGCACCAGAGCTGTTGCAGTAATGAAGGAAAGTGTGTGGAAGAAAGTGTCCAAAAATCGGTATACGCGGGGAACAGGGCAGAAAATATTGGGGTTTGTGGGGGTGATGGTGTTAGGAGGTGCTGGCGGGCTCTTGGCGCTACAAGGAAACAACCTGAGGAGCGTGCAAAGCATAATTCTGAACATTGAGCACAACACCGGAGAAGGTGGCGGCGTTTTATGACTAAAACGACTCTTTCCCCTACCATAAGAGGTTAAAATAGGTGTGACTTGAAAAAGAAAAAGAAGGGCACTTGCGGGGCACCTTCTGAACTTGGAAAAAACAAAATGGAATTCCACTCAATCTTGTTTGAAACAAACTAGCACAGTCAGGGCGGGAGATAGCCTCAGGGCTGTCCTTTCGTGAGTGTGTGCGTCGAGGGCGGAGGGAGCATTTGAAAACAAGTCGAAGTAATAGTATTTATACGTATTTCTCCCCTTTCTTGCCTTTGTCTGGTTCATCGAAGAAAGCGCGGACGGTGTGCGGCCGGTTTTAACGAAAGAATTCACAGATGGACGCGCTGAGGTCTAAAGAGACCTTTCTCCCTCTGCTAAATTAAGAATTGTCCCGCGCAGCTCACGCGGGCTGCGTCCGGCCGCCACTGCCACTGCCACTGCGCTGCGCTTGCCCAGCGGCGAGGGAGAGCCTCCGCAAGCGAGGCCTGAGAACCCAGTTCTCCAGCGGCCCCTCCGCCCGGGCAGCCCCTCCTTCTGGCGATGATGTCAGCCGCGGCAAGGCTCGGCGGACCTGGAGGAGGCCGAGCTGCTAGTCCGGGTAGCGAGCGCGGGCGGCCCTGCCCCGCGCGGTCCCAGTGCGCAACCGCCCTCGTTGCCTCACGGCCTCCTTTCTGCTCCGGCTCTCGGCCCCTCCTCCCACTCAAGCGCCCGAGGGAGGCGCCAGAGGTGGGGGAGGCCGCTGCGGGCCAGCCGCGGCGGGTTTTGAACCCATAGATCAAACAGATTTAGGGTCTTCCCGCATTCCTTTCCTCCTAGTCCCTGCCCCTCCCCCAACCCCTTTCCTCCCCTTTTCAGCTTTCATCTTCACTGTTCACCGAATTGACTTATTTAGCGGCATTTTAGAGGACAAGTTCTTCAGATGAAATAAGAATAAGTTACCAGTGTTAAATTTCCGCTGTTTCTCTTCTCTCCGGGTGATAAGGAAGGGGGACGTGAAGACCGGAGTCTTCAAAATCATGTGGCTGTCTCTTCGCCTGCAACAGAGCAAGCTCCCCAGAAAGCGAAGACAGTTGTCTTCCCAAAGAAATGGTGCGGTGGGGGAGGAAGGCAGCCGAAGGCGTTGGCGCAGGGTGGGCTGTCCCCTAAACTGAAAGAAGGGATTGGAAATGAGGGGTTGCGGAAAGGCTCTAGGAGCTGCTACCGCAGGGGAGAGGCCACCATGCTCTTCATTATAAGGCTGCGCAGTCACTTCTACAGACTGGAGGGCCAAATGGGGAAAATTAAGGAATAGGATTTTCCAAGACGGAAGCCCGATGCGGCTTCTCCTCTGAATTTGCTCTTCTCGTTCTCAGGAACAAGTCCCTGCTTTCCCGAATTTGGAGCTAATCCGTTTCCCTGATTGCGGACAATTTTTTTCTATAGCTCTGGGAGAAGGACCGCAGCGAGCAGCTGGAGAAGGTTGCACAGGGAAGAGGGAGGGGACGGAGACAAGGGCGTGTGTGGAGGCAACTGGGCCTTGGAACTGTTTCCTTCCCAAGGAAAATAGGTTCAGAGGGGATGGCACCAAACTGCTTACCTTCTGTATTTCGGTTTGGAGGCAGGTGGAACTTTTGAGGGAAAGGGAGCCTGAGCAAAGAGTATCCGTTTTGTAAATACAGTGTTTTGTTTCTTCTTCCCTTTGATGGAAGGCTTATCTTACATGATACATCAGTAAAGGCAACAAACTTAAAGTTGTCATGCGTTTGAAATACAGGAATGGGAAGGAAACTAAGATCAAGCACCAAGCATAAAAACCACATTCAATTTCTAGAGTTCAGTCATTTGTTAAGAGTCGAAAGGAGGCTTTTTTTTTTTAATGACCCAGAAGTGATTCTGACAGACCCCCAAATGCAATTGGATTTGGCATTTGGCACCTGGGAGCCCTAGCAGAACGAACTGCATAGGTTTCACGTTATTTCTTCCTTGGTATTCAAAGCTTCATGTTTTTTGCAAAATAGAAATTCCTGATAGCATCCAGACTGCTGGTGGCAGGAAGAAATCTGGTTAGGGATTTAGAAACCAGAAAAATTTTCCTTTTCGCTGTTCAAGCAGTCAACAGCCTTTAGCCAGGATTTATAAGGTTCTTAGGAAAAGGAAAGGGAGGCACACAGACAAGGAGACTTTATGTAAACCACTGGATTTGATCTACACTGAGGAAATATGTATGGCTGCCACATTTTCTATTAGTGGGAAGGGAAATTATTCATGGGATGAATATTTGAAGTTAATTTTCTCTAATAATCTTGCTTCTCCAATAATCTTGCTTCAATAAATCTTGTCATATGTTTATTTATTCACCAAAGAAACTACAAACATTAATTAGTCACCTACTGTGCCAGACAATGTGCTAGGCTCCAGGAATACAAAAGAGAGTATAAAAACGTGGCCTGGGCCTCTATGAGCCAGGAGACTCCTACAAATTTATGATACAATCTGATAAATGCTCTAATTGAGCATAATGGAGGGAGGAATTAATTTTAGATAAGGGGTTTAGAAAAGATTAATGAAGGTGTCCCTGCCTTTGAAAAACAGGCATCCTTAGGCAGTAGCTAGCCAGGAAGTAGACCTAGAAAAGCCCAACACAGACTAAGGAAAGGTATGAGGAGCCTTATTTCCCACTCTGGAGTTAAAAGGTATGTGTGTTTTTTGTAGACACAGGCCACCTTTGAAAACTTTTCAATCAGATATGTTAGAAACAACAAAAGAGGGTGAGAAAATTGGGCAGCAGGTGGCACACAATAGGAAAATTCTGTTGTCTTTAAATCAATATTTGAATAGACTAATGCACTGTAATAGAGAGTGGAGGGAGGCAAATAAGTAAAAAATATACTGTAACACCTGGAAAAGAAGGCCTAAAGTGAATCAGTGGAACTAAGAAAGAAAGGAGTGATATTTTGGGGGAGAAAATGTCTTAGTCATATTCACTAATCCAGTTATATCTTTATACTTATTTCACCTTCCCCACCCATCATCCCAAATTCTCAGTCTTCCACCATCAGAGCAAACTCCACCGTCTGCAAGCACACGCATCCCTACTGCACTCCATTCTTCATACACCTTCCTGCATTACCTCTCTCACCCTAACCCACTTCAGCTTTGTACCAGCAATTATCTCCCTTAATCGTGGCCTTTTCCTCCCCTTGGGCACTGGCAAACACCTCTATCTCTATTCTTCCTCCTCTTCCCTTTCTGTTTCTTCCCTGCATTACTACCTAGGAATTTTCTCCACTCATTCCTTTATCTCCATTTTACTTCCTCCTCTAGCCACCTTTGATTTTCTTCTCCTTCAGTGATTTCAGAGAAGCTTAAAAAAAAAATGGAACCAAGGAACTTCTACTTCAGACTCACAGATTTGTCAATTCTCCTTATGAAGAAAATTTCTTGTTGCCTGTGTGTGTGTCTTTTGCTGTTTTATTTCAAACAAGATGTATAGTGGAATTCCTCAGATTTGTTATATCTTTTTTTATTATGCCTGCAAATGTCTGTTTTCTTTTGGTAACAACTAGGGATTCAAATATTGTACATTGGGGAGTATTCCCAACTTTTCTGAATTTCTTACCACTCACACCTGAAACTGTTTCTCTACATCCCATCCTTTCTGGTGTTATCTTTCTTCCCATAGGTCATTCCTTTTATGCTTTCAGTAAAAGTTTCTTATTTTTATTCCTCTCTCCTTTTTGCTTTGTGGGATTGTTACAGTGGCTCAAATTTAAGTATTTTGGGAGGGAATCCCCCTAGGACAGACCCTCCCAACACACACACAGGCCAAAGCATATTCTTACCAATACACACAGTTACCATGCC